TAAAGGGAGGAGGAAAGTGATTGAGAAAACTGAGAGGACTAGAGAATAGAGCCACTCTGTTACCTTCAAGAGTCTAGGCTCAGTGAACCCCCATCCCTTCTTTCTCCAGACCTCTCAAGCCAAGGAGGTCTTGTAACAAGAGATTTGGGAAATGAAGACGTTATGGTGGAGATTCAGGTTGAGGAGCCTGTTCACATACCTGCCGCCTATTTAAGTCAACGACAGCTTTTCACTTCACCGGTAAAGTGGGTCCCCCAAGCCCTCCTCTCAGCTCAGTGGAAGTGGTGAGTTTGGGGGGCAGGTGGTGAAGGGATTATTGATGGGAGATGGGAGAATTTCACGGGGGATCTCAGAAAAGGAGCATTATAAGGGGAAGAACTTACCCAGAGTCTATTCTTAGCTCTCTCACCTTTGGGAAAATATTCCTGCAGTCAGGGGCCTCTTTGTGCATGTCAGTTCTCATCTTCCTGGGGTCTGGACCCAGATCTGAGCCTGCAGTGTGTGTCTATTTGGAAGGGGGCATTTGGTGAGGGTGAGGAGTAACACCTGCATATAGGATAAATTTTCTTTGCAAGGATGTAAATATTTAATTCAGGAGGAGAATATGGTGAAATGATATGTTTGAGATTTATTATTTTATTTCTCTTGGCACTTCTTTCCTCTCTCCATTGGAGCAGATGGTCAGCTCTGAGCTCATCACCTCAGGGAAGGGAAGTGTCAGTGTAGAAAGAGCCTCTCCAGAGTTGTGTTCCAAAGCCCTAAGTCCTTAGGGAACTAAGAGTATTTTAAGTACGGATAAAATTTTTAGAACAAGTAGAAGGAAGAGAAAAGGGCTTCCCCCAAGATTAGGGTGAGATTCTCTGGGCTGGAGGGGGAGAAGGGGAACCCGCTAAGCCTCAGAGAGAGGCTCCAAACCCTGGTGCCTGAGTGTAGTCCTGGAGGAGTGGCTGCATGGAAGACCTGGTGAGTGGGGCCAAAACAGTCTCAGATATTCCTAGCCACCAGGGGCCATGAAGCAGCAGGAAGTGTCCCACACTGGGCTCTCTGGACCATACTGTGTCCCACCTGTCCTATGGCATCAGTCCGTGTGGGTCTCCACATTCTTTCCATTCTTTCCATTGAGTGGTCTGCATGTCGCCTTCTGGTCAGGTAGCTGTCTCTGCTTCTTCTTCCATGACAGGCTAGAGGAGGTAGGAGCGTTTTGTGCTTGTGTATCATACTAGGACACAGACATCTGTGTGAGGCTGTCAGTGGCCCATCTGCTCAGATGTACCTCAAGGTCAATCTCTGTCTGAGTCCTGATGCCTCTCTGAGGTCTCACTCTGATACCAGGTACTGGGACCTTCAGGTTCTTGTTTTCTTACTTATCAACTCTCCTCTGCAGAAACCAAAATGAGGCTCAGAGAAGCACACAGGCTTGTTAGGAAGGAAAAAAAAAAGTTTTATAGGAACACAAAGGTTTACACAATCTCATATTTCTATTGGGAATTCTCTCTGTGTCAATCCCCTCCCCCTCCATTGACTCATAACAATCAGTGATGGTCAAAGGTCCACAGGTCACTCTCACTGAGGTAAACTCAGAATCATTTTCATAGTAACAACACTTTGGGCATTCCAAGTGAGTTTCTGGAGACAAAGAATTCAGGCTCTGAGATATAGACAAGTTTCTTCTACAGTATGATATCAAGAAATGTATATCAAGCTCCTGCTACAGACCCTCAAATCACATCAATCTTCTTCTCAACTTAGCATGAGCATGGTCTGCATTAGCCTGTCACAAAAAGGAGAATCATGTATCATTCAGGGGTTAGGTCATGAAATTAGCACTTATGGCAAAAATTCACATAAAAATTACCCTAAAACTTTCTTAAATCTTCAGTTGAGCTCCATATGAAGTAGGTGCCCTGTGTTTAGGGACAGTATTGTATTTTTAAAATTTTCTTTAAATTCTGGAATCACATTCAGGTGGTGAGATGCTCACACTATGAGAATTACATTGAGGGAAGAGCACTTTACATCTCTCAGATTAATCTCAATTTGGGGTGTGAATGCAATGTGGGGCAAAGATGTACACATTATTTATTACATCTATTATAGTTCTCTTTCTTTTGGTAGAGCAAGTATAGAACTATGTTAGACACTGTTGAAGATACCAAGAAACTTCTAGGAACTTGATCTGAAGGGATATACAATCCAAGTTCTGGGATAATTAAATACTAATGTAAGAAGTAAATGGCAGTATGGAAGTCTTAGAATGATCTCGCACCATCTCTTGGCTCTGGATCAATCGCTGTGGCTTCTTCCTTGGGTTTCACATATTGGAAATACATCTACCAATACTCCAAGTCTACATCCTCCCAGGTTATGCCCCATGGAACACAGTTTGTGTTTGTCAGTAGTTTTAGTACATCTTCTTGCATCCCATTGGATCTGATTGCCTTACACGTACATCCCTAAATTCATCATCACCACAAAGAGGGGGTGAGTGGTAAGAAGAAGTGGTATAATATAGTTCTTTGATTGATTATGCTTCAATTCTTGCATACTCCTGGAGACAGGAGTGGAGTTAACTCCACCATAAACATTTGGGCAGAATGAGGAAGAACTTGGTTTCCCAGAGGAAAATTGATGTAATAAATCTGGAAAAAGGGTGAATGGACACTGATGGTAGAGAAATGGTACTCTTAAAAAATGCTAAGATGTTGGAATTTCTGGGCAGAAGCATGATATTCCATAGGGTGCATTGTAAAGCCTTAGACAATTGGTAAAAGGGAGATAGGATGGGAGGGAGAAGTCAGATCAAAGAAGCAAAGGGCTAAACTGGATGGAATTAAATTCAAGAGACAAGGGAGCATTGTTCCTTGGGTCATGCCTGGGACTGACATGGGTAAAGCATAGAATTCAGAGGTAGGCAATGAGGAATGAACTAACTTCTGGGCTCCTGTTTGAGTTTTGGTGCAAAGCTGTTTTATATTCATCTGTAAGTCTAGGCCCTTTACCCTTCTGGGGTGTTCACAGAGGGCCTGAGATTTTAAGAGTACTCTCCAGAAGAGCTGGGATCTAGATGAAGGGTTTTACTTAATTATGATAAAAAAAAGTTCCAATGATTATTTTAGTAGAGTGATAGTGGTTGTGGCTTGTTCTTTTACTCTCTCTCTTCTTCCTGATTAGGGTAACTATTTGAAAACCATGCAGAACAAGAGCAAAATTAGGTCCCCCAAAGATCACTGGAGCTTTCTCCTATGTTTTTTGCAACACAAAAATGAGATTAATTGGAAAATGACAGAATTGAAGATATGTTTCACTTGCTTTAAGCAAAGGCCAGCTCTAATATAGAGCATTTGTATCCTTCATTCTGAAAACAATTATCAGCTGATTTATATACTACAAAATTTAATTGCTGCTTAAAACCATTAAATTATCCAGTTGAGTTCCTACAGAGCTCCTTTAAAAATTTGTGAAAGACTAAAACAAGAACCTTTAATATTTTATATGTTATCAGGTGAAACTGTTAATTTCTTGGCAAGGTCTATAATATTATTGCATTTAGAAATATATTAAATTATTGTCTTGGAATTGGCAGCAACTTGGACTGAGGCCTTTTACAAAAAACATTAAGAATGGAAGCTTCTTTTCTATGAGAGCGTTGGTTAGTCTTACATTTGTTTTGGAGATCTAATAGCTGCCATATGTTAGACCTATTAAATGAATGATGTAATTTAGGCTGCCTGTTGTCCTGCCAACTGCTCCATGCTGTCTCCTCACTTTTAGCGTGTCTTACTCCAAAACGTCTATATATCACCCAGCAGTAGCTTCTTATACAATTGTGTTAGTCCTTGGGCCCTTAACCCCATCCATCATCTATATAGGCTGTATTTTCTTCCCTCCAGAATTGAAACTAATGAAAAATAATGGTAAACCTTGGCAAAGAGTGTGCTTGCAGGATAATAATCAACCCAATATTCTGGCTCGTGGATAGAACACCAAAGGGAGAATTGATGCTTAAGACAAAAGCACAATGTATGATTAAGAGAATTCAACCTTATCCATGACGTGAAAGACAGAAAAATGCTTTCTCTTTTATGAAACGTTAGATGGTACATTTCTGCACTCCAGTGAGCAGGATAATACAATGAGGATGACCAGAGAAAAAAATAGTCACTTATTATATATAGTATTCCCTTTGCTTGTGCCACCTCTGATGGCTCCTATCGAAGAAGATAAAAAATTCAACCTGAGTATCTCAGATATTTATGTAGCTATAGCCCACATATTTTTCATTTTATAAATGGGGAAACAGAAGGCAAAAATTCATTAATGACTTGTATCAAGTTACCTTTTATGTATCAGTGTTTATTAGAAGGAAATGTATAGGTATTTACAAATTATATTGGGAAAAATCCATTTATCAATGATTCTATAAATTTAATTGAAATCTATTTCTTAGCAGCGTAAGCTGCACTGTGCTACAATTATCTTAGGACTGTTTTTACTATAATTTCCCAGTGAGTAAGTCAGTTAGTGAGGGTTTTTTCAGCATTATGAAGGAATCCTGGAATGTGCCACTACGCAGCTTCAAAGACTTACACCTTTGTTTTTTGTCTTAGGTATTCAAACATTAGGACTGCTTGTTTTTGCTCAGTACCCTATTATACTTTCAATATGGCAGACTTCTTTTTGTTACTTTGTATCTTCATATACTTCAATGTTCTATGGGTTTTTTTTTCTTTAAACCTAGGATTGGAGAGATAATTTTCTTTAATTTACACCTTTTCCATGTTCCAGCAGGACCTAAAATTAATCCTTTCCTTTACGGGGAGCGCATAACAGTTGTGCCCTTATGTAACCTGTTGGCTCCCACTTGTCATCTTAATGAACTTCCTCATTTCCTACTGTTTTACAGTCTGTCCTTTTGGCATCTTAGAACTTCCTACACTCTTCTTCCTTCGGTAAGTGTATTAGTTTACTAGGGCTGCCATAACAAAGTACCACAGATTGAGTGCCTTAAGCAACAGAAATTTATTTTCTCACAGTTCTGGAGACTTGAAGTTTGAGATCAAAGTGTCAGCAAAATTGGTTCCTTTCTGAGGGTTACCAGGAAAAGATCTGTTCCAGGACTCTCTCCTTGGCTTGTGGATGGTCTTCTTCTCCCTGTGTCTTCACATTGTGTTCCCTCTGTACCTGTCAGTTTCCAAATTTCCTCTTCCTATAAGGATACCAGTTGTATTGGATTAGAGTTCACCCTTATGACCTCATTTTAACTTAATTACCACTGCAAAGACCCTATCTCCAAATACGGTCACATTCTGAGGTATGGGGGGTTAGGACTTCAACATATGAATTTTGAGGGGACACAATTCAGCCCATAATAGTGGGAAAGAAGAGCACAGAAATATTTAATGTCATATGGTATTTCTGGGGTATTGAGAGTCCATGGATCTCAAAAATATAGATCTTAATTATCAGGCAGGAAATATATGGATATGTTACATAGTGATATTAATTTTCTAGCAGCCAAAATGCTAACCTGGTAGGACTTACCTTTCCCATACGTCAAGAAAAAATGCAAGGTGAAAAAATTAGCAAGTGTGTGGAGAGTAGAGATCCTGAAACAGAAATAGGGAAAGATCCTCCAGAGCCTTGCATTCTGAAAGGTAACAAAAATTAGATGTTCTTTTTAATTATGCAGGGGTAATTTCATTCAGGTTATAGCACACACATGTAAACCAACACTTCCTATCCCCAAATTTCAGCTTGGTATTGTATTGGATATATGCTATTGCATGAGAGTCAACAATGTAATTTCTCTATTGTTTTCACGCCTTTAAATACAGGAAGAGATCCTTAAATAATTATAAAAGACTGTATAATAATTCCAAAATGGTTCAACAGATCAGAATCTATATAGTTCTCTGGAGTCGTTATAAAAACCAAAACTATGTAAAGAATCATATATTACTAGAATGCAGATGAGATCAGAAGCTCTGCAAACAGCTTTTGATGCTTAATGCCATTATTTCCTCCCCTGAATCAGAAGCTGTGACTATTCTAGAGATCTAAATGTTTTTCATCATGACCTAGTGAAAATGACTGAGGAGAAACCTGGTGGATGGTTAAATTCTAGAGATGGAAGTTAGCCTGGGGGTTGATCCTGGGAATTTTTACCAAATCAAAACCTGTCTGTCTGCTCTGATCTCTAGGCTTCCAGGTTAATTCTGGGGACAGCCCAGGGAGTAAGGTCCTGTATGGGGGAGGAGAGGGTGGAAGGGAGATGCCCCAGCCTCTTCCTCCATGGAAAGTGACCTGGCCTCTTAAAGAGTCTCTCTGGATTAAGGATACTAGACCAGGATCTGTTATGAGCAGGACCTACTTCTCCCATAGTGGTGACATTCAGAGGAGGATGCCAGGAGGGAAATGGGGACACCAAATAGCTCCACTCAGCTGCTTCTATCAAAGGTTCTCAGAAAGGCTGGCATGTCATACATTGAAACTTAAAATGCTTCTTAAAAAGCATACATTTCTATGTGCTGCTCATTTTGCTTCAATTAATTCTGGATAAGGATTACATTACACTGGAGTGTTTTTAGTGGGGTCTTAGAATTTTCTGTATTAATCTGCTTGCTGCTCTTTAGAAGTCACATTTTTGGAGTTGCATTTAAAATAGGGTAGGTTTACCTTAGAAACAATGGGGATTACTGTCAAGCCTTTTCTTTCTTAGAGGAAATTTATTGAGTTATTATAAAGGACAGTACTCTCTAATATGCTTAAGTCTAGAAATTGCTGTTTCACTAATGGATAAAAACTGGACGGCTTATCCCTTTTCTCAGAAAGTATTAGTGATTTCCTGTGGGAGGAAAGAAGTAGGAGAAAAGCCTTCCTACACTCTTCCCCAGTTTCCTCTGGTATTTTCTGTGGCCTAAAGAGAGATGCATCCTGTTCTCCTTTCCCAATTTATCACTTCCTCTCTTATTCTCAATCCCCACACACCCACAGGGACCAGTTCTCACTTCTACTGTTTTTGTTGTGCATTTCATTTATTTCTATAATCCTTTTCAAATGACTCAAAAAAGTGGATGCATATGTATTCTTAGAGGTGTCATCTCACTTGTTTTTAAATTATAACACCAAACGGAATTTCAATCAACCTTCCTAGGTCAGTTAAATTAAAAGTTTGGATACAAACCAAGAGTTAGAGTTAATGTTATTTATTAATATAGCTAGTATAATCCATCAGAAATGTATTAATAATTTATAGGACTCAAGGTATATCTGTTACATAGTTAATGTCCATTTATCATAGAGTTTTCAATAATGGGGGAAAGATTATGGTTGTAAACGATAATTCTTCATCTTGCAGGTTAGGGAGTAGAATGATCTAATGGCTCTCCTCTGTCAGTTTTATCCGTGACATGAGTAGATCAATTCAATGTGTACATTCTTTGGATTCTCAAGAGTCTTGGCTCAAGGGAGGGGCTGGGCTCATTGTGTGTGTGTACTATCAGTCATTGGTAAAGTGATGGATATCCTGGGCTCTTGTATTGACATTTTGGGGCCTTTTGTTCTTTTTTTTAAAGCAAGTTAGAGAAATGCTAGAGTCAGTGGCTTTGTCAGTCTATACAGTTTGAGAACCGAATTGGTAGGATTTGGAAAGGATTTTTTTATGGAAGCCTTAGGGGAAGTGTCTGTTTATTTTTTGGAGCAAAGACTAAATGATTTAGCCAGAAAGTGGTTGGAAAAATAGGCATTTGTTCCTCTGGGTGCCTATGTGAGGGCAGAGGGCTGAAAGCAAAATATTTACAGGCATGTTGACTGATCTGGGAGCCAACTGGAGAGTGTTCCTAAGGAATAGATTGATTTTGATAAATGGTAACCATCTTCAATATGATAAAAAGATGAGGAAGATAGGAGTCCATACTTCTTTCCTTTTTATAGGATCAATCACTATTGTTTTATATTTCAACCAATGAAGCCATTCAAAGAAAGAATTCCAAAGAGATCTGCAAATACATTTCCAAAAAGAAAAGGACAATTAGTTTATAAGCAAGAGCTTTTAATGTTTTTGTTGGTCAGGAGGTCAGGGATGTGTCCCAAAGTCTACTAAATTATCAGTTAGTGTTGCTGTCAGTGTAGAGTGGCTTAACCTGGTAAACAACCGCTTCCTTGGAGGGATGAGAAATGCACATAAATGATGACTCAGGAAGGCTTTTGAAAAGTAGGCAAAGCTAGTGTAATCCATAAGAAATGTATTAATAATTTATAGGACTCAAGATATGTCTGTTATTTCTTCTCTTCAAATGAGCTAAGGACCCAGAATGTTTCTTGGACTGTGAGAAGAATTTATTGGAGGTCTAACATGTCAAACTAGGCTCGGCATTCAAATAAAAAGATGTCTTAAGCAAATGAAAAGTGCAGAGAAAAAAGGAACTGGGGAGGGGGCTAGATTCACACGGCCAGAGCCCTGGAGACCACCAGGAAGACTTAGGAGTGAGTGCAGGTTAGCAGAGGGCCGCCTGAGGCCAAGGGGGAAGACTTGGAATTGAATGGGAAATGCTATTCCTCACCCACGGTCTAGGGAACGGTTAAGATCCCAGGCTTGGAACCATTAGTCTCTAAATATGAGGCAAGGTCAGTAAATGATGGACTGAAACCTGGGCAATCTGAATATTTGAAGGAGAGGTGTGTGTACACAGAATAAGAACAAACTATAGAGAAACTACACCGATTTTTGGCAAAAAGGGTGACCATGTGGCCAATATCAGACAATGAAATAAAGACGCTGACCTACCGGATCTGCTGGCCATGCAAACCTCTATCTGTGTCCAACAGGACTGTGAATCAGGAGATAGGTCCAGCATCCAGTCTCACCACAACTGGGATGCAGCCAGTTCTCATGCTTGGCTAAGAAGGAAGCCCAGGAAGGAGGCATGGAAATGGCAGCCCTCACTTCCTTCACACTTCCTGGAATCTGGGGGCATGGCCACATTGCTACTATTCTTGAAACTGGAATTTTGTCAGGATTATATTTGTTAAGCCTTGCTGGTTTTTACCTTCAGTGAAGTATTTTTGGAAAGAAAAAAGTGTCATTTGCTTGTTTCAGAGACAGGCATTATGGGAGGAGGGGGGTGGGAGAGGGTGTCTGTATTGGCCTTTAGGGAGGATCAGGGGAGAGAAGTGTCTATAGCAGTGATTCTCAATGAAGGAGTGAGGTATTTTGCCCCTGGAAGAATATTCGGCAAGACATTTTTCATTGTTAGGACTGTAGGAGAGCATGCTGCTGACACCTAGTGGAGAGGTCGGGGATGCTACTAAACATCCTACAATGCACAGGAGCCCTTCCCACCACCCCAACAAAAAACTAATGGGTTCAACAGGACAATAGTGCAGAAGTTAAGAAACTCTGGTCTAGAGGCAAGTAGATGGTTCATTTGAAAACAGGGAGGGGAATGGGTCTTACCACCCAGCCTGGTGCAGAAAAGGAGTGAGCTGAGACCCTGTGAGTGGGAAACTGCTAGAAAGCAAATAGTGTCCCCATAGTGGGAGTGGGATGGGGTGGAATGGAGTGGGAAGTATTTGGAGAAACATCCTTCACTCCTTAACAAATGTATCTGGAGGAGAAGCCAACATCTGTTACTTTAGATGAGGAGTTAATTTTCTCCAGATTCCTTTTCTGGAAGGATCTGTGGTTGAAACAGTTCTTATCTGCTTACGTTCACTTTTTACAAACATCTTCAGAGCCAGGAGGAGAGAATATCCACTTTCTCTTTAGATCTCCTCTACCTTGAGAAAAATCTTCACTTCACATTGCTCCTTCCTTGAGCTATCATTTGGTTCTCTACTTCCTTTAAAGGCCACTCAGTGGTTTGTGCCTAGTGCCTCCATTTCCTTCTCACACACAGCCTATCTGTCCTACTTTTTGGCTGAGCCTATGCAGTGAAAGTTCATCAGTGCCCTCCACCTTGCTCTACCCAGCGTCATTTTAATATGCTTCCTCTCTCTGGCAGTTGACACTGTTGTCTACACATATTTTTCTTGGAATTCTTTCCTTCCACTAGTTATCTACACCCTTCTGGCTTCTCCTTTTCACCCTCAAATCCTTCTCTTGCTCCTTTTCTAGCTCATTGCCTACTCTTGGTCTTCATAGCTATGTCCACTGTTCTACTTTCTTTAACCTACTTTGCTGGTGATGTCACCTCTTCATGCTCCTCCACCAACTCACTGTGGATAATTCTTTTATCTTAAATCACCAGTCCTGTTTTCTCTCTTAAGTTACAGACGCTTAATGTGCCTATTGGACAATTCCACTTCCCTTCTGTGCCTTGATCTCAAAATGTTTGAGTGCAAAGCAGATCGTCTTCTTTTTCATCAACTAAGAGGTTGCATGAAGCCTTTAAGATGCTCCCAGGGCAAAACTCTGAACTATCCCTGATTTGCTTCTTATTCACCAAGGTGCCAGTTTACTGACTCTACACCTGTGTCATTTTACCCATACAAATTTATCGTAGATGAAATTTCCACTTGAATTAGCCTGGATCTCACAGTCTGCCACTAATATGCCAAGCTCACAACTTTTGTAAGTACATTCTTTTCCCTTCCGCTTAAACCTTGCTGTGCTATCTCTCCTGCATAATATTGGTATTTAGGCAAAAGTCTCTGCTTCCTTGGGTCAAAGAGTAGAAACTATGGAAATTTCTGGCTCTGAGGTAGAAGCCAATGGGCAAAAATTTGGGGGGGGCGGAGTGAGGCCTTTTGGAACTTTTAAAATCACATGATGCTGGCAGCTGTCACACTAAGCTTGGCCCTGGCATACTTAACGCCTCTTCTGTTTAAACCTTCATGCTTCGTCTGGCAATTACCACCCTACAGAGCATCAGCATTCGGGTCTTGAGAACTCATCGATAAGAGTGAGAGAAAGGATGTGGCTTGGAAAGAAGTAGAAGGAAATTAAACTGAGTCCCAGGATTTCCTTGTACTAGCTATCATGCAAATAATTTAATAACTCTGATGTGCTTTACTTTAAGTACAGTTTGGAAAATTTGCATGAAATGAATTTCTGCAAATAAAGTGCTATTTCAAACATACTATTTAAAATTCACTCTGGTAACTTCCATTAGGTTGCAAAGAGTGCTTAAAAAAATAATCACACTTTCATTTTCTAGAAGTTATACCTTTTAATATCAGGTTTGTTTGCATTTACTCCACACTTGATTTCATAATCACATGTACAGGAAAATAATTTCTGTTCTGCTACTGGTCAATAGCTATATTAAAGCTGCTTGCCTGACACAGGCCCAAAGAGAATGAAAAAAATCTGATCTTTCTTCTTCTTGCTTTTCTCAGTGTTGAAAGCCAGGATGAGCAATTTAGGCTAAAATAGTATTCTGTAACCCAAATCAGGCACATTACACCAAATCCTTAGCAGATTTTCACTTCTCTTTGTGCTGTTACATTTTATTCTTTAATGCCATCCAGCTTCTTCTTTTCTACTCAGAAAAAATAGAATTATTGGAGGTTTTTCTGTTGTTTTGTTTTGTGGTTCTTTTTTTTACATTTCTAAAGTTAAGTAGGGGAAATTGGTGAGGGTAATGAGAAAGATGTGGTATTGTATTTAGGCTACACAAGGCAGGCATTTACCTCAATGTTTCACAAAGAAGGATGTGAACAAGGTCAGAAATTCAAATAATTCAGAAAGACATAAAATTTCTGTTTTTCTTAGCATTTTACCTGTATTTCCTGAAACATTACTTATGGGAGAAAAATCAAACTAGAACTTATTAGTCATTGACAGCATTGGGTATTCCTTAGAGTAGGCAGAAAAGCTCAGTAAAGATATCTAACGCACCCATAGTAATTCAGTTTAATTGAATTTCTTACTTTATAGAACTTCAGACTAGATACTGTTGTTTCTAGGGGTTGATATTTGTCAGAAAACAACCCCAACACATTTTACCTAACAATAAAAAGTAGAGGTTTTTTTGTTTGATTTGTTTGTTTTCTATTTCTGTAGCACACCACTATTGGAGATATTTTATTCATCTCAAAAAGTGCTATTTATAGGTCAGCCTTGGTGGCCTAGTGCCTAAATTTGGTACCGTCTGCTTCTGCAACCTGGGTTCAGTTCCCGGACGTGGACCTACACTGCTCTGTTAGCAGCAATGCTGTGCTGGTGGCCCACATACTAAAAAATAGAGGAAGATTGGCATGAATGTTAGCTCAGGGCAAATCTTCCTCAAAGAAAAAATAAAGTGCCATTTATAAGGCAGGTGAAATTCTATTACTGATAATTTACAGAAGCATGAATTTCATAAAGGCAAAAGCAAAGCCAAATGCAGCCAGCAGGTAGCCCTGTTTTCTGATTGTTTGATCTTGCAGACAATGTCACCAAAGTATAATTTTATTATTTTGCTTAGAAATTATATGGTATGCTGAGGTCAAATCCACAGAGTATAACATTAAGGCTTGACATAAACCACCAGGGCGTAAGCAACAAGTGAAAAGGAAATTCCATGATGCATTCTAAATCATGATTTGTTTATTTCTATATTTTTTAATTAATATGATACTAGGAAATCTTCAGTTGCATAGTAGAGATATCAGTTATTTTCACATGGGATTTCTTTTTCTAATGTGAAAAATCCAACCCTCAGTTTCAGAACTGTCCTCTTCAGGTCCACACGAAGACATCTGTGGGTAATTATTTGCCAAGCACTGACAGATTTCCACATTTCTCTCCCACATAGTACATTCTCCTTACCAAACCCAAAATAATCTTATAAAAATTTAAATTAGGTCATATCATCTTGCTTAAATATCCTTCGATGGATTTTAGTCCCATTCACTTTAGAATAAAATCTATACTCCCTATCACAACCAATAATACTCTGCACTAGCAGTTCTTACTCAATTTGGTCTCAGGACCGGTTTATGCTCTTAAACATTGTTGAGAAGCCTCAAAAGACTTGGTTTATGTGAGTTATAGCTGTTTATATTTACTGTATTAGAAATTAAAACAGAAAATTTTATTTATTAATTCATTTTGAAACAAAAATAATACACTGTACATGTAACATTTTTAATGAAAAATTAACTTTTTCAAAATAAAAAATTATTGAAAAGAATGGCATTGCTTTGCATTTTTGCAAATTTCTTTCATGTTTGGCATAATAGAAGATTGCTGCATTCTCATATCCACTTTTTCATTTAATTTATTGCAATAGTGCATATCCTTTGCCTCGAATGCTTAGGCCAGCTTCACTCCAGTCTCTCCGGAGAGGCCCTCATTTTCCAGTCGTTTATGCAGTCAGCCTCTATCCCATTACTTTGTTTTACTTTATCCTTAGCATTTAAAATTATGCAAAATTATATTATCTACGTCTGTGTTTATCATCCGTCTCTATCCACTCAGTTGTAAGCTCTGCTTAGGCCAGGACCTTGTTTGTGTTATAAACCATTGCGTAATAGTTTTCTATTATTGCTTAACAACTTACCCCAACATTTAGTAGCTTAAAACAGCAAACATCTATTATCTTACCGTTTCTATGGGTCAGGAATCTGGGTGTGGCGTAGCTGGGTGCCTCTGGCTCAAGATCTCTCCTGAGGTTGGGCTGAAGGATTTGCTCTCAAGCTCACACCTGTGTTGTTGGCAGACCTGGATAATCTACCTCCAGGCTAATTCATGTGGGCCGGGCTGCCTCTCAACGTGTCAGCTGGCTTTCCGCAGGGTGATTGATCAGAGAGAAAGAGAGAGAGAGAGAGAAAGGATCCAAGACAGAAGCCACAGCATTTTCATAATCTAATCTTGGAAGTGACATCCAATCACTTTTGCCATTTTTATTCATTAGAAGGGAGTCACTAGGTCTAGCCTACACTCAAGGGGAGGGGATTACACAGCACGAATAGCAGCGGGTAGGGATCACTAGGGGCTGAGAGGCTGCCTACCATCCATCTACTGTATCCTTGGGGTCTAGGATAACGTCTGGCACATGGGAGGTGCTCAGTCAATACTTGTTGAAGGAGTGTAGTGACCACAGAGTACTCAGTAATATCCTTGTTTCCAGTGGGTTTAGCCTTGTTTTCTGAGCAGGAGGGGGCTTATTTGCCTTAGAAGGCTTTTAAAATCCATGTTGTTATTCAGGGCTCCTCTGGTGTGTTGTGTTATTTGGGTGGTTGGAATAAGCCTACATAGAAGGGAAAATGTTAGTTTCTTCCATGGGATTAGAAGACTTGTTGCTGGTGCCTTCTGGGGCTTAAAGTGAGAAACTGGGTGAATAATTCAGGGCTGTGACATGTTCCTGCCGGGGAAATAGAAAGAACTTCCTGCTCAATAGTATCTGTTTTGCACATTCTTCTTCTTACATAAAATTTTATCATCTAGAGGGATTGTGCTCTTGTGGGGCCATTGCTCTCACCTGGTATCTTCGTTTGGCTTCTCTAGGGTAAGGAACATACTGAGTTGTCTGGTTGGCCATATTTATTCTAAGATACAGTAATTCAAAATTCACTAAAATTATCCATGAACAACTGTAATCATTTTCTAAATAAAAGTAATAAGCTTAATTAGTTTATTTACTACACAGAGCTGCCTTAGAGTACCTTCATATGTCTCTCCACTGTAGTACTATTTTATGTCTTTTGAAGGAAATTATAGCTAGTCTTCACTTTAAGTCATGGTTTAATAACATTGTTTTTACACTTCCAGGGCTGGGTACATTGGTCACGTGTTAGTATGAATCAATCTTTAAAATTGTTTTTATGACACTTAGCTGGGACTATGACAACAAAGGTAGGGTAATTTCAACCTAGAGAGAGAATGGAGGAACAGATACTTTTATTGAATTAGAAATAGACCTGGGCTGGGTGTCTGGTCAACAATGGGGTGACCTAAGAGCAACGTAAGCCTGAAAAAGGCAAGTTTCTAAATCAGTCAAGAAAAAAGAGGCTGGAGTATTCTAGAGGTCAAATGCATTGATTTTACTATTTTACCCAGGGTTTTTCAAGTGTAGATGACATGGATGGACATTTTCTCCAGCAGTGTTCTTTTTTTTCAAAATTTTTCGAACCCACATGTACTATTGCCGTATCACTTCTTCTTTTTTTTTTTTTTAAGATTGGCCCTGAGCTAACATCTGTTGCCAATCTTCCTCTTTTTTTCTTCTTCTCCCCAAAGTCCCCCAGTACATAGTTGTAGGTCCTATTTCTGCTATGTGGGACGCTGCCTCAGCATGGCTTGATGAGCGGTGCCACGTCTGTGCCCAGGACCTGAACTGGTGAAACCCTGGGCCACTGCAGCAGAGAGCACACGAATTTAACCACTCGGCCAAGGGCCGGCCCCTCCAGCAGGGTTCTTATGATGATGGGGCAACCTCTTAAGATTCCTCTAAGTACCTCGACCAAGGCAGAATAATGTGATTGAAGGAAATGGATTCTGGTGTCAGAGAGATCTGGACTTAAATCTCTGCCCTGTCATTCTCAACCACATTGGAGAAAATAATTCCTTTATCTTAGAATTGTTGCAAAGATTATGTGGGAAAAGACATGTGAAACAAATGCCTGACATATGTAGTAGGTATTTAATATTTGTAGCTCTCTTTCCTCAGCTGAAATTTGGCAGAATACTCCATTTTCAGGTTAAAGCATTCTCTCTTTGTGGACACATCCAGATTTTAATTCAGCTTATATTTGCAACCCAATAAGAGCTCTCCTTAAAACAAAGATGATCAAATTTGGCTATCATTCTGTTAGATACTTCCAGTCTCCATGTATTAAAAATATCCCTGGGGAGTTATAAATATGACAAAATCCAGAAAATATCAGATTGTTCAGCGTGTGTGGTCAACTCCACAAAGTTGTCACCAAACATCAAGATTTCTCATAAATTATGTAATTGTTTTGAACAAAGCCTTTTCATTCCTGCGAAAAGAGAGGTAGCCCCAGACAGTGAGAATTGTTAATATATGGACAAATTACTGAGGGCATTTGTAGAGTTTTCAGGCTGTCTCAGATATTGTTTCAGCTCAACGAATCTATGATTCCCCTGAGACAACGTTTTCCAGAAGTATTATGGGCAATTGGTTAGACTTTATGCTGTTTTTTTAAAAAATTAAAATCTTTCATAATTCCTAATTATGAATTAATTTTGAATACACAAAAGATAGAATAGGCATCCATTTACTCACCACACACTGACATTTAAGAGATGTTCACATTTTGCCATATTTTTTGTAGGCTCTCTTTTTCTTTTTTAGTTAATTTTTACCGTTACAGCTAAAACTTCAGCTTCATCTCTTCTCCATTTCACTATATCGAAATCATTGTGCTTTTTCCATTCATGTTTTTATTCTTCATTATATGTATATACCCTTAAAGAATGCGTGGTATTGCTTTATGTTTATTAAAAACTTTTTCATGTGTGGTATCATATTACATATACTATTCTGTATTTTGTATCAATAGTACATAGTATTATATGTATTATTCTTATTTTCCCAACAATGCTATTTTTATGTTTAGCCATGTTAAGTCATTAGTTATTTAATTTTAACTAACATATGAATTTTATTATATAAGTGAACTACAATTTCTTCTCCCATACCCTACTGATGAACATTTAGATTATACTTAACTCTTTGCTCATATGAGCAATGCTACGTAAATATCCTTCTCTACGTCTCCTTGTGTACATGTGCCAGAGATACTTTAGGGCTTACTACACTTATGGTAGATTGAATTATGAGACTCAAATCTTTACTCCCCTGTACTAGTAATACACAGGCACCCTCTTGCCAAGGCCTCATGGAAGGCAGAGTACGCTTTCCCTCCCTTTTATTTTGGGTGAGGCCATATGATTTGCTTTGGCTAAGGGGATTTTAGTAGACATGATACAAGCAAAGATTTGAAAAGTGCATAGGTAGTTGGGTTTGCTTTTGTGCTCTTCTGCAATCTCCATGAGAATAAGCCCTGGGTAATCTGCTGGGCCTGAAACAAGGAAAGACATGGACTTGGTATCTAGAACTGACTCGGAATCAACCCACAGTTTCATGTCAAGCCTGGCAATGCAGGGCCTTTAGTTGAAGCCCAACTGACCTGCAGACCAGTGAGTAAGCAATAAGTGCCACTGTTGCCTATCATTGAGATTTTGTGGTTGTTTTTTATGCAGCAAAAACTAACTGACATATATATTTT